GCAGATCACCAAACCTTCCCTGGAGACCACGGACATACTTCTCCTGACCAATCTCCAACCACCCATCCTTGACCGACCTGCGAACCTCCACACCAAGGTACATGGATACCTCACCTAGATCCTTCATCTGGTACCTCTGAGCAAGCACCTCCTTGACCTGACCGATCAGCTCCAAGCGTGGAGACACAAGCAAGAGGTCATCCACATACACCAATACATACACTGGCTCTTCATCCACAAATCTGATGTACAGAGCCTCATCACATGCACTGTGGTCAAACCCTGCTGCAATCAAGGTGGTACCAATCTCCTCATTCCAAGCACGAGGCGCTTGCTTGAGCCCATAGAGAGCTTTGCGCAAGCGATGCACCCTACCTGTACCATCATCAAATCCCTCAGGTTGCCTCACATACACTTCCTCTTGAAGGAGTGCATTGAGGTAAGCATGATCAACATCCTCCTGTTGTACATGCCACCCTTTTACCGCGGCTTCTGCAAGAAGCACCCGACCTGAGGTCAGCTTGCCCACAGGGGCAAATACCTGATCATAGTCCTTCTCAGGCTCCTGAGTGTACCCCTTAGCAACAAGGCGAACCTTGTGCTGTACCACCTTATCCTCCTTGTCAGTTTTCCTGCGGAAAACGTACCGGACCCCAATGGCCTTCTTACCTGGAGGTAAGTCAACCGGCTCTGGATCCCATACACCCATAGTGCGCATTGCATTTACCTCCTTCTCAGCGCCTGCCTTCCACGCAGGGCCCTCAGGGCCACGCAGGGCCTCAGCGAGTGTGCGTGGGACATCACCTGTGCTCACACCTGCAAGTGCAACACCTTCCACCTCCCTGGCCAAACATAGCATGCCCTCAACCACACCAGCATCCCCCCCTACCTCCTCACCACCTGTACCAGACTGGATACCAAGCACCTGCAAACCCGTAACCGGTGGTGGGGAGGCAGTCGCTGGTGACGGAGGGGCACCCGTAGAGAGAGGGATAGAGCGCTGACCAGAGGAGGAGGAAGAGGAAGTAGCCTGTGTAGCGGATCTCCGCTGAATGACCGAGGGGCCACTGAGCTGCTGCAGAGGGGTGGGCTGCTGCTGCACCGACACACTCAGCGGTGCCGGTGGCAGTGGTGAAAGTGGCATCTCAACGTCGTCAGCCGTTGCTGAAGGTGGCGAGAGTGGAAGAGGGAGGAGTTGGGAAATTGCAGCTGCATCCTGCAGAAGCTCCCCAAATTCCTTTGCCTTGTCCCAATCCTTCCACATCACATTCTCAAGGAAATCAACATCCCGAGCAATGCGAATGCGCATGATAGAAGGGTCCAGCATGCGCCAACCCTTGCTCTCCATGTCCACCCCAACACAGACACACATGACAGCCCGTGCATCAAGCTTGCCACCCTTCTCATGCCCATGCAACATGACACTCCCCATGCAACCCCAAATCCGAGCCATGCCCACATGCGGCTTCTGGCCGGACCACGCCTCCATTGGTGTGATGGAGGCAGGCAAAGCACTGTGGGTGACCCTGTTCTTAACCCACACGACCCACATCAATGCTTCACCCCACAAGCGAGCAGGGAGACCACTGTCGACCAACAATGTGCGAATCCCCTCTGCCATCGTCCTGTGCCACCTCTCCACAACCCCATTCTGTTGCGGTGTATCTGCGACGCTCAATTGAGTTTTAATGCCAAACTCCGCCTTCCATGCTTTTACAGCTTCCCCCAAGAACTCGCCACCCCTGTCCGAGCGAACAGCCTTCAGCTTCCGCCCACACTCCAACTCCACGTCCTTATGCCACTGGCGAAGGACTTTTGCAACTATGGCCGATTCCTTGTTGGGGAGGGGGAACGACCAAACTCGTCTGGTGAAGTCGTCAATGAGACTGAGGACATACACCGCTCCTCCCAGTGATGGTGTGCGCACCGGCCCCCACAAATCCATGTGGACCTCATCCAAAGGCCCAAGTGCCCGAGACGCCTCATGGGGAAACGGCTTCCGAGCCGACTTTCCCAATAAGCAGGGCTCACATGGGGAACAATCAGTGTTCCCCCCCCCAATCTCCAAGCCCAGTACACTGTTCACCCGAGCCATCTGTTGCAATGTTGTGGGGGCGGTATGACCAAGGCGGCGATGGGCAAGGGTCAATGGGGAAAATGAGGAGGACGACTTAGCTGCAAGAGCACTGCCCTGTGTGCCCTGAGCAAGAGGAAGAAACATCCGCACCAATCCATGGTCCCTTCCCCTCTCCTTTTCTCCAATCGCCAACACCCGCTCCCCCCGTTGAAGGACACATCTCTTGCCTTTGAATGTGACAATGACATCTCGAGAGGTGAGGTGTGGGACTGACAGCAGACGCGTGTGCATCTCAGGCACAAGGTGGACCTTTTGAATCCTCAGCAGCTGACCTCCAGCACCAACCACTGGCATCTCACCCATGCCAACAGCTTTCACCACCCGTCCATCTCCCAATCTAACTCCCCGAACCTCTGGTGGTTGAAGCTTACTTTTGAAGTCCGATGCATAAGGAGTAAAGTTGTGGCTGGCCCCACTGTCAATCCACCACCCCTCTCGCGGCTGCTCCTCTCCCACTGCTGCAACTGCTTCTCCAACCACTGCCTCTGCCTTGTCATCCTGCTCCTCCTCATCCGCCACCTGTGCCTTGCCGTTGGACCCACGACCCCCCCGCTGTAAGAATGCCGGAATGCCTCCCTTAGGTCGATGAGGACATCGCTGCCATGCATGTCCCTCATCCCAACAGCCATGACACAACCCCCGAGGAGCCATGCCCTTGGACCCCCAAGGGAAATCAAGCACTCCCGCTTTGCCTTTCCCTTGACCCCATCTGCCCGAGTTGGTGTCACTGCTGCTACCGCTGTCTCCATGCTTTCCTCCCTTGACCCAATTTCCCCTGCCGCTGCTGCCCACTTTCGTACCCGCTCCAAATGTGGCTACACCATCCGATCTTGGTGCGACACCAATCCGCATCTCCTCGCTCCTCAAGGAGGTAAGCAGCTGATCCTTAGTGAGCGATGATGACTGGTTGTTCAACACCACCTTCAGCATCTCAAAGTGAGGAGGTAGTCCTTTGAGTATCCTCATCATCCACTCCTCAACCTCCTCCTTTCCTCCTGCTGCCAAGTACTTGGACCTCAAGTCCTCGGCACGCGCCCAGTATGCAGCCACCCCCTCCCCCTCTTTCATCTTCAATGAAGAGAGCTCCTCAGAGAGTGCCATCCGGTTACACAATCCACGCTGAAGGTAGAACTCCTTCACTCGTATGTATGCCGCTGCTGTGCCTGCAGGAATTCGGGTGACCGCTCTTGCTCCGCCATCAACAGGTGCGCTGCCCAACTCGGTCTTGCCGCCGAACTCCCGTACCAAGCGAATTAGCTCATCTGGCACCAAGGCATTGCAGAATTGAGCGAATGCCTTCTGATTTTTTCTCTCCCACTTCAGCCGTGCGTCACCCGATGCAGGCCGCTCCTCCGAACCATCAAAGTACCCCCATAGATCGTGTGCCTCTGCCCATTGTTCGAATCGGAAGCTCCAAGTCCAATAGTCGCTCCCGTCGAACTTTGGCGTACTCTCCAGCTTCCCTTCACCTGAGTCATGATCCATTTGCGGCAGACACTCTGGAGATTGACGTTGAGGTGGTGGTGGAGGCAACGGCGGCGGTGGTGGAGACGATGTGGACAGATTTGCCCCCTCTTGGTTTTTGGAGCGTAACTCCGCGCTCGAACCTCCGAATGATGAGCCGTTTGTCTCAGATGAATCTTTGCTCCAAGACCGTTCCGATGATGTATCGCGCTCCTGGATCCCGCTTCGAAGCTGTCCGCTTAAACTCGTCGAAGTTGGCCGATTTCCCGTCGACGAAGACTCAACCGTTTCTCCCGATTTTTGGCTTGTTCGATGCGCCCTGGCCTCCTCTATCGGCGTCTGGCCTCAAATCTTTTTTCCGCGCTTTAAATCTTCCCCGATTCGCGATTTTCCAATTCGTCCGCCGGCAGTTTTTCGCGAATTGCGTCCGATCCCCTCGTTGATTGGTGACAACCTTGAGGCAATTGTTGTAGAGCGTGCTGAGACCTTTCCAACGGTATGCTGCACGTCTTGATCGGCCAAAGTTGACTGAGCGCCTCCGTGGATGGATGCCGCTCTTCTCGTCCTCCCAAACGGATCTACACGATTTCCAGCAGTTTTCTTCTCTCCTCCTCCCCTCCCACGTCCAGAGTCCGCCACGGTGCAATTTCGGCAGCCCTTCGGGAGGAATGGAAGCTAACTAGCTTCCACCAAGATCTTATGGTCCAATGTCTTGAGTAACTCATTTTCCAACAGATTGCTAGGCCTTCCTTGCTCTGATACCATATTAGAATGGACTAAGATACTAGCGGAAGCTTTAGTAGTCTTAGAACCTCCTCCTAAAGCCTAGGAATCCTAGGAGCCCACTTGGGCATGAACCATGCTAGAACCAAAGTGGTTTCAAAAAGTGAAATGCCAACAAGAGAGAACCCTAACCTATAGGGTTTGGGAGGTGGTCCACTCTAAAGAGTGTACACCACAAGTTCTCCCAACCCAACCAATGTATTCTACACTACCATAGTGTAGATGTACCACTACATATGTTTATTGGAGCAACCCGAATTAACCTTAATTCCAACATGCACAACTCTAGTTGTACCAGTATGCACTGGAAGGTGCCAACTGCGAACAGTAGTTGTAATGTGGCTTCTGGCCAGACTGAGTCCTTGTGTTGTGCCATTTCAGATACCTTTGATGCCAAGTGTACCGTTGATCACCACTACAATGGCATTATCACCACGATAATAAGCTCCGCAGGTATGGAATGTCGCATGTATGTCATATGCAATTGTAGGATGGGCACATCAGCTGTTTCCAGCACATATCTTTTTTAAATATAATACTGGAGCGTGAAATGTGACGCAATGTATCATAAACCGGATAGCCCAACAGATGAAAGTTCCTTAACCGTTTTAATAAATCATGCAGGAGGGGGGTCGATGGCCTTCTTGGGTTCAAGGCGCATCAGAGTAATCGTGCCGAGGAGATACTCGGGCAGCTCATCTGCAGCTTGTGCCTGGAAAGGGGGAGAGAAACACAAGGGAGGGGGAGATTGAGTGGAAAGGCTTTGTAAAGCCGAGCCTGCGGCGAGGCACATGATTGATTATGCCTAGAAGGTACGCAGGCAGCTCGTCTGCTGAACTGGCCTGAAAAATGGGGAGATATGAAGGGAAAGGGGCAGGAAGAGAATTTTGAGCGGCGAGGGAAGGGGGGGGGTAAGTACACATCGACAGGTCCACGACGAGTGATGTAACGTAGCTGAGCACGAGGCCGATGACGCTGCAAGCCACTGAGGAGACAGGTACTCACCTCTATGAGCAGTGCCAGGTCTCACCTCGGAATGTGGAACTCACCTATATGAGCAATGCAAGGTCCACCACGAGCGATGTAACGTAGCTGAGCACGAGGCCCATGATGAGGTAAGCCAACATCACCTGAACCTTGATTATTCAAAATCCTAATTAAGGCGAGGCGAGGCACCAATATCTCACCTCTATGAGCAATGCAAGGTCCACGACAAGCGATGTGACGTAGCTGAGAACGAGGCCGATGACGCTGCGAGCCACTGAGGATGACCCCACGTCCACGTCCATCTGGTTGAGTGTGGTTCAATGTGGTTTGATGGGGTTGAAAGGGGTTGGAAAGAGTTAGAGAGGCACAGGGGCCTTGGGTCGAAAGGAGCAACAAGAAGAGGGCCCCTGGCCCTTCACATGCATGTTTAGATGGCAGATAGACATGGGCGACTCAAAAATCGACTTACTACACAAGGAGGGCCCTTGGCCCTTCACATGCACGTTTAGATGGCAGATAGACATGAGCGAAACACGAGTCGAGTAAAACTCCCTACCTCCAGGTAGTTCTCCTCCTTGTAGTAGCTGCAAGTCAGAGCCTTGCCCACCTTTCATGTCTCCACCCATCTTCCCTACAACCAGCGTCGCTGTTTCAACCACCAACACCCATCTTCCCTACCTCCAGGTAGTTCTCAACCTTGAAATAGCTGCAAGTCAGTGCCTTGCCATGTATGAGTCTTACCTCTCCACCTCCATCCTTCTTCCCGTCCCTACCTCCAAGTAGTTCTCCCCCTTGAAATAGCTGCAGGTGAGTGCCTTCCCCAGAATAGCAGCTTTTGTTCCAACTGCCCGTTTCACTGCCCAGAAGCCCTGCGGTCAGAACGACAGTCGGAAACGGTGGTACGAAGGTAGTAGGAGAAAGAAGTGAGGGTGATAAGGAGGAAGTGAGAGGGGTGTGGGTGGGTTGAATTCGATTGAACGAGTCAAAAGCCCTGCAGTCAGAACGAATGGCAAGGAAGGAACAAGTGGCAGGAGAAGTAGAGTGGTCGCCAGCGAAGCTGCCCCACACACACACCCACGCACGCACGCCCGCCCGCCCGCCCGTCTGCCCGCACGCACACACGCACGCACACACACCCACACACACATATGCAGCTCCTCAATGCGGGGAATGAGCTTGAAGCGGCTGTTCCTAAACGACTCGTCCTCAGCGTTGACAAACCTCCCCACCCCAGCGGCGAGTGGGGCTTGACGGGCTTGTTCAAGATGCCACACAGTAGGTGACAAGCACATGCCTACGCCACACACACACGCCCTAGCCACACACACGCGCCCTAGCCACACACATACGCCCTAGCCACACACATACGCCCTAGCCACACACACACGCCCTAGCCACACACATACGCCCTAGCCACACACATACGCCCTAGCCACACACACACACGCCCTAGCCACACACATACGCCCTAGCCACATACAGACCCACCTCCTCAATGCGCGGAATGAGCTTGAAGCGGCTGTTCCTGAACGAGTCATCCTCCGCGTTCACAAACCTCCCCAGCAAAGAATCTTTCTTGACAGGGCGGTCGGCAGCAAAGTAAGCGACACACGAGTAGTTAGGCTTGCCGGGCACTTGCAGGTTGAGAACGAATACGAATGGCAGCTTCTTGCCCGCCTCCGACTGTGAGCGGAGGGTGGGAATGGGGAAGGGATGTGGATTTATAAGTCGACTTAAAAATGGGGGATATGGAAAGGGAGATGGTGTATGGGAAGAGAGTGGAATGGACAAATGGCTGACGTTCCAATGTAAAGGTAAAGAATGCACAATAAAGGAGGACAAAAAAGGAGATACAGTTGCATACCAGATACACAAAAAAGGATGTATCCACTTCACTGGCTTGAATTGAACCACTCCAATGCCAGCTGCATCCTCCGTTCCCTCCCTCCCACTCCTTACCTCCTCCCTTTTGTCCTCCCTTTCATCTTCCCTTCCTCTCTCTCCTTCCTACTCTTGAGTTCCTTTCTTCCTACACCCTCACATCCCCCCAAATCCCCTCACATACCCTCACTTGTCAGCACATTTTCTCACTTCTCCTCACATCCACTCACATCTCTGGACACCCTCTTACATCACATCACACCACCTCACCTGCATGACAGATCCAGGCCGTGATGCCACATTGTCAATCCGGGAATCCACGTGTAGCGAGGGTGTTTTTGAGACGTCTCAAAAACACCCTCGCTACACGTGGCCGTGCTGCCACATTGTCAATGCCGGAATCCGACTTGGACCAGTCAGTCCACTGTTGCTTCCCCTTCTTTCCATCCCTCTCTAACCAATCTTTCCCTTCTCCTTCTCTTTCCCGCTCCCCCTCTCCCCCCCTCACACCCCCTCACTTGCATGACAGACCCGGGTCGTGCTGCCACATTGTCAATGCGCGAATCCGACTTGAACCAGTCCACAGCCAGTTTCTGCCCTCTTTCCAGCCCTCCCTTCCCACTCTACCCTCTCCCCTTCTCCGCCCCTCAACCCCCAGTCCTTCACCCCACATCTCCTCACCTGCATGACCGAGCCAGGCCGTGATGCCACATTGTCAACCCGGGAATCCGACTTTAACCAGTCCACAGCTCGTCGCTTCTTCCATCCCATCCCTCTCCACCCAATCTTCCCCTTCTCCTTCTCTTTCCCTCTCCCCCTATCCTTCACCTCTCATCTGCTCACCTGCATGACAGACCCGGGTCGTGATGCCACATTGTCAATGCGCGAATCCGACTTTAACCAACCAGTACACAGCCAGTTACTTACCGCTACTTTCCATCCCTATCTTCTCAACCTTCCCTCCTCCTTCTCTTTTCCCTCCCCCCTCTGCCCCTTCACTCTCACCTGCATGACAGACCCGGGTCGTGCTGCCACATTGTCAATGCGCGAGTCCGACTTGAACCAGTCCACAGCCAGCAGCGAGAGCAGCGGCTGGGCTGCTGGGATCTGAAACAGGGAGGGGGAAAGGCCGGGGGGGAGGAGGGTAAGAAGGAAAGGGCGAGGAGCAAGGAGGAGGTTGTCAATGCGCGAGTCTGACTTGAACCAGTCCACAGCCAGCAGCGAGAGCAGCGGCTGGGCTGCTGGGATCTGAAACAGGGAGGGGGAAAGGCCGGGGGGGAGGAGGGAGAGCAGCGGCTGGGCTGCTGGGATCTGCAGAGGAAAGAAGACGGGCGGCGAGAGGGCGAGGAAAGAAGGATGAGACAGAGAGAGACAGAACCCCCACTTGGACCCCTTGTGGACCAGGCGGGTGGCCAGTAGCATGCTTGCCTCTCCATCAATCTTGCATGCTTGCCTCTCCATCAATCTTGCATGCTTGCCTCTCCATCAATCTTGCATGCTTGCCTCTCCATCAATCTTGCATGCTTGCCTCTCCATCAATCTTGCATGCTTGCCTCTCCATCAATCTTGCATGCTTGCCTCTCCATCAATCTTGCATGCTTGCCTCTCCATCAATCTTGCATGCTTGCCTCTCCATCAATCTTGCATGCTTGCCTCACCATCAATCTTGCATGCTTGCCTCTCCATCAATCTTGCATGCTTGCCTCTCCATCAATCTTGCATGCTTGCCTCTCCATCAATCTTGCATGCTTGCCTCTCCATCAATCTTGCATGCTTGCCTCACCATCAATCTTGCATGCTTGCCTCACCATCAATCCTGCATGCTTGTATGCATAGTGGTTATTAATACAACGGACCATTCGAGAGAGAGAATAAGAATGGGTTGGTTGGAATACAGCCAGTCCACAGCCAGGAGCGAGAGGGGCGGCTGTGCTGCTGTGAATTGAGGAAGGAAGGTGGAAGAGGGAGAGAGTGAGGAGGACGAGAAAGAGAACGAGAAGGGCGGAGGGAGGGGTGAGCAAGAGGAACAGGGCCCGCCTTGATCCCCTCAGAGAGGGGAACTGGCGCTGACGAAGGCCTAACGGCCGAAACGCGTAAGCCTACTTAGTTCTCTTACTTTGAGACTTATCAAGTCCTCATTCATACCTTCTTCCTAATCCTACGAAGCAACCCACCCATTACACTTAGCTAAAATTTTCTACGGTGACCACACGGTCTGCTGCGGTTCGAATCCTTTCTTACTTCGCGGGAGGGGCGAGGAAGAGGAACAGGGCCCGCCTTGATCCCCTCAGAGAGGCACGTGGCACCGCGCCTTTTGAGGCACGCCTTCAAACTCACAATCTTGCACCAGAGGGAGGAACCAAGCTCACATTGCTGTGGACGTACCTGCCAGCAGGTCTGCTGCTGCTGGGGCTGGCTTCTGCTCTCAGTGCTACAGAAGGCAGGTCAGGGGAAAGGGAAGCTGCCCGTACCTTGATGCCATGCCATCAGAGAGGTAAGTTGCCCTGCGCACACAGAAGTTATCCGCAGCGGCCTGCTTCCACGCATGGGCGTCCTTGGGGTCTACTCCCAGCGGCAGGGACGCCTGCGCCCGCATCTTCTCCCCCACCGCTGTCAGGTCTGGGGCTGGCTTCTGCTCTCTCAGTGCTACAGAGGGAAGGTCAGGGAAATGGAAGCTGCCCGTACCTTGATACCATCAGAAAGATAGGTCGCCCCGCGCACACAGAAATTATCGAAAACAGCCTGCTTCCACGCATGGGTGTCCTTGGGACTGCTGCCCAGCGGCAGGGAGGGACGCCGCCGCCCTCAGGTGTTTCTCCTCACCGCTACTGCCAGGTCTGCTGCCGCTCACCTTGATGCCATCGGAGAGGTAGGTAGCCCCTCTGACACAACTTTTGAGGCGCCTCAAAAATGACTTTTGCGGCGCCTCAAAAATGTTTCTCCCCACCGCTACTGCCAGGTCTGCTGCCGCTCACCTTGATGCCATCAGAGAGTTAGTTAGGTAGCCCCCCTAACATAGAAGTTGTCGGAAACAGCCTGCTTGCTTCCACGCATGGGCGTCCTTGGGGTCCACTCCCAGCGGAAGGGACGCCTGCGCCTGCAGCTTCTCCCCTTGTGCTCGCAGTGCTCTCACCTTGATGCCATCAGACAGATACGTAGCCCCGCGCACACAAAAGTTGTCTGCAACTGCCTGCTTCCACGCGTGGGCGTCCTTGGGGTCCACTCCCAGCGGTAGGGACGCCTGTGCCCGCAGCTTCTCCCCCACCGCTTCCAGGTCTGCCGGTGTGGCGTCCGCCTGCAGCTCCCTGCGCACCTCCCAACGCTCCTTGTCCGCCTCCTCCTCCTCCACCAGGAACACTGTTGACGCAAGGGGAGGGGGAGGAGGGAAACAGGTCGAGGGAGGGGGAGAGGGAGATGGAGAGGGAGAGAGGGAGGGAGCGGGGCAGGGAGGAGTGGGAGTTGGTGAGCAAAGAGGTAGGGTAGGGAGAGAGAGGGGCGATGGGAGGAGGCAGAGAGGCCTGTGCCCGCAGCTTCTTCCGCACCGCGAGCTCTCTCGCGGAGAGAGGTCTGTGGGTCTACTTGCAGCTCCCTGCGCACCTCCCAACGCTCCTTGTCCGCCTCCTCCTCCTCCACCAGGAACACTGTGGGTATGGGGGAGGTAGGGAGGAAGGGGTTACGGGAGCGAGGGAAGATGGGCGAGAGGCAAGGTTCACTTGATTCGGACTGTGCCTGCAGCTCCCTGCCCACCTCCCAGCGCTCCTTGTTCGCCTCCTCCTCCTCTATCAGGAGGGGAGAGGGGTGGGGTGGGGTGGAAGCATGTGAGCGAATTCGTAGGGATGAAGGCAGGGTGTGGGCCCTCATTTCCTGCAGCAGCTCACGAGCCATGGAATGGAGCGACTCACAAGATCTCACACCCCCATCTAAGGACTTACAGAATCGCACATCTCGCCTCACAACTCACGGGATCGCAGGCGGAAGCCGAACGGCACCATCCACTTGTTGAGCCCTCCCTTTCTACACAGCACACATATCGATATCCCCCACCAAGGGACTCACAGCAGCCCACAGAATCGCACAGCCCGTCTCAGGACTCACAGGATCGCAGGCGGAAGCCGAACTGCACCATCCACTTGAGCCCCTGCCAGCGTGCCTTGGCCGATACCTTCTCCTGCCATGTGGGGGATGAAAAAGGGGAACACACAGGGAGAGTGTGGGAGAGGGAACGTGGGGCTGGCATACACAGACCAAACTGCACCATCCACTTGAGCCCCTGCCAGCGCGCCTTGGTCGATACCTTCTCCTGCCATGGGGAAAGGAGGGGAGAGAGTGTAAAGGAGCACGGGTGAGAGGGAATACACGGATACAGGGAGTGGGGACAGCTTTTTGTAGCCTCTCCTGCCCCCTCACGACTTGTACTCGTTATAAGCAGCAGCACAGACTTCGCGGGTTCGGCTTCCTTCCTTTTCGGAATCAAAGAACTGGTCTTCGAGCGACTCGGCCCTCTCCATCAGGCCGGTAACCACCTCTGTGCCTCTTGCTCCACTGCCACCCCCTCGCCTGGCCCCTGTCCTCTTGTATTCGTTATAAGCAGACAGCACGCACCTTAGCGAGCTCCGCCTCCCCCCCTTCGGCGTCAAAGAACTGGTCTTCGAGGCTCTCGGTCCTCACTAGCAACCATCTCTCACTTGATACCCTGGTAACCTCCCGCCTGCTCCCTGTCCTCCCCTCCCCGTGTACTCGTTAGAAGCAGACAGCCTACGCACCTTAGCGGGTTCAGCCTCCCCCCCTTCGGCGTCAAAGAACTGGCCTTCAAGTGACCCAGTTCTCTCCATCAGGCTCGCAACCATCTCTCATTCACTCCTCTGATACCCCCTCTCCCTGTCTCCTCTTGTACTCGTTATAAGCAGACAACACGCACCTTAGCAGGTTCGGCCTCCTCCCCTTCGGCATCAAAGAACTGGTCTTCAAGCGACTCAGTCCTCTCCATCAGGCTCGCAACCACCTCCTCCGTGTTCCTCTCCACGTGGTCCTCCATCGCCGGCTGTGCTGCGAAATACTCCCTCAGGCCTGTAAAGTGCATGGGCCGATGCAACAGAGGTAGAGGTAATGAGAGGTATACAAGGCGGTCGGGATAGTTAGGAGGACAGCAACCATCTCCTCGGTGTTCCTCTCCACGTGCTCCTCCATCGCCGGCTGCACTGCGAAATACTCCCGCAGGCCTGTAAGTGCATGGGCCGATGCAAAAAGGGTAGGTAGGTAAGTCGGGGGATACAAGGGGGTTGGGATGGGTAAGAGGACAGCAACCATCTCCTCGGTGTTCCTCTCCACATGCTCCTCCATGGCTGGCTGTGCTGCGAAATACTCCCTTAGGCCTGGGAGAGGGAAAGGGAGGGGTAGAGGGAGGGGTAGGGGGAGGGGTGGGGGGAGGGGTGTTGGGAGGGGTGGGGGAAAATTGAGGGGAAAGGGGATGAGGCAGGTAGGGGGATAGAAAAAGGTTGAGTGTGGACAGACAGCAACCATCTCCTCGGTGTTTCTCTCCATGTGCTCCTCCACTGCCGGCTATGCTGCAAAATACTCCCTCAGGCCTGGGAGGTGGGTGGGTGGGCCGGTGGGGTAGGGGGAGGGGTAGGTAGGTATACAGAGTGGTTGGGATTGGTAGGAGGTCAGCAACCATCTCATCGATGTTTCCTCTCCACGTGCTACTCCGTTGCAGGCTGTGCTGCAAAACACTCCCTCAAGCATAGGGGGAGGAAAAGGGAGAGGGAAAGCCTGAAAGGGATGGGTAGGGGGAGGGAGTCAAGGAGGCTGTGCTGCAAAGTGCTCCCTCAGGCCTAAGAAACGGGTGGGTAAGGGGAGACAAAGAGGTTGGGTGCGGTCATTGTGGGTAAGGGGACAGACGGCAACCATCTCCTCTGTGTTCCTCTCCACGTGCTCTTCCATAGCTGGCTGTGCTGCCAAGTACTCCCTCAGACCTGGGCGAGGAGTGGGGGAAAATTGAGGGGAAAGGGGATGAGGCAGGTAGGGGGATAGAAAAAGGTTGAGTGTGGAGGGACATTTAGTTTTTGGTCGAGTGCGGTTGAGTGGGATGGGATGGGAACGCCATGCTAGCTTCAGCACATCACGGTTTCTTGCACCACTCCATACCTGCTATGCGGCACAGCAACGCTTACGGGAACAAATACTTTAGAGGCGCCTGAAACAGTCACCAACCTAAACCACCTTCTCCCCCAAACCTCCACTTGCTCCCCGTACCTGCAATGCGGCACAGCGACGCGTGCGGAAACGAGTCCGCAAACTCCTCAAACGCCACATGCACCACCGGCCCATCCGCCTCCTCCTCCACCTATACACCTCCCCACCTCACCTTAAATGGTGCGAGCACCACATAGCACCACTCTACACCACTCTAAACCTCCTCTCCGTACCTGCAATGCGGCACAGCGACGCATACGGGAACGAATCTGCAAACTCCTCAAACGCCACATGCCCATCCGCCTCCTCCTCCACCTCCCCGCCTCCCCCTCCCACTCCCCCTACGCCCAGAGATCCTGTAGACGGGGACTTTGTCATCTCCCTATCCTTCTCCTTCTCCCTCTCCTTCTCCTTCTTCTCCCTCATCAACCCCTTGATAAACGAAATCGGCCTCCCCGCAGCGGCTTTCGCCACTCCCGCGACCGCTTGCGCAGGTCTGGGGAGAGCCGAGTGCACGGAGGAGGAGACGCTCTGAGAGGCGAAGGCGGAGGGGGAGGGGGAGACGGAGCGCTTGCTAGGGGTGGGAGGAGCGGGGCTGTCGGAGAAGCAGGAGGAGGGGGAGGAGGAGAGGGAGGGCGCGGTGCCGAGCTCGATGACGTGGCGCACGAGGCACTTCACGTGGCCCGACTTGGGGCGGGCAGGGGTCAGTGGCAGGATGTCCCACGATCCCACTGGTTGGAGGAAAGGAGGAGAGAACAAAGGGAGGGAAGAGGGGGGATGGAAGGAGTAGATTAAGGAGGGGAGGGTGAACGGGGGAGGACACGCTCTGAGAGGCAAAGGCGGAGGGGGAGGGGGAAACGGAGCGCTTGCTGGGGGTGAGAGGAGCGGGGTGTGTTTTGAGTCGACTCAAAACACACCCGGAGGGGGAGGGGGAGACGGAGCGCTTGCTGGGGGTGGGAGGAGCGAGGCTGTCGGAGTGGCGGGAGGGGGAGGAGGAGAAGGAGGGCGCGGTGCCGATCTCGATGACATGGCGCACGAGGCACTTCACATGGCCGGACTTCGGGCGGGCAGGGGTGAGGGGGAGGATGTCCCATGACCCCACTGGTTGAAAGAAAGGAAGGGAAAGGGAGGGAGGGGGAGGAGGGATGGGGTGGGTGAGGATGAGCGGCTTGGGACGCACGAGGCACTGCACGTGGTCGGTCTTGGGGCGAGCAGGGGTGAGCGGGAGGATGTCCCACGATCCCACTGGTTGAAAGGACAGAGGGGATGGGGAGCTAAGGGGACGGAAGGGGAAGGAGGGGGAGGGAAGGGGGGGGATGGGGTGAGCGGGAAGATGTCCCATGACCCCACTGGTTGAGAGGGGCGGAGGGAGGGGGGGAGGGGAGGAAGGGGAGAGGGGCGAGGGGACAGGAGGAGTTTTTTGTGTGTGTGTGTGTGTGTTTTTTTTTTTTTTTGCTTATATGAATTATACACCTAGACATAAGTGTACAACGCATAAACAGTCGTAACTGTGCATGAGAGACGGGCAGGCCCGCCTCAGAATACACGATCCTCAGACATGGATCCGGGGTCTGCGTGGCTTGCCCCATATGGTTGCGAAGCACCGACAACCTTTGCCATCCACCACGCTGATACGGTTCAGAAGATGCTGCTCTTGTTCCGACATTTTTTGCCACCTGGCCTGCCGTTGCTTTCCTCGCTGCTGCATCCTTGCCACCGCGGCACGTACGTAAACGTTCACATGCATGCGAAAGGCCGACTCAATCCTCCGCAGAACCCTCCTTGTGCGGGACAGGAGGAGATGAGTGAAGGAGGGAAAGAGATGCTCTAGAAGTGGGCAGGGGTGAGCGGGAGGATGTCCCATGACCCCACAGGTTGAGAGGGAGGGGAGGAGGGAAAGAGAGGGGTAGGTAGAGGGGGGAGGGATGAGAGATGGGTGATTCAGGATTGCTGAGTGTGAACATATCGGGCATTGTGGCTTAATAAAAGCAAGGGAGCTTCAATGTTTCTCAGGTCAGACATATTTGGAAAGCCACGGTTACATGCAATGCAAGGGCAGTGCTTACATGCAAGGGCAGTGCTTACATGCGAAATCAAGGCGCGGGCGGCGGGCATTAGGGGGCTTGGAGTCGTGAAGGGTGTTGAAAGTGGTGATGCCTGGGGGGGGGTGGAGGGGGGTTGTGGGGGAGGAGGAGGGGAGGGAGTGGGTCAGAAGCGGGGGAGGTGGAAGGATTGGAGGAGAGGAAGCGGAAAGGGTGGGCATTAGGGGGCTTGGAGTCGTGAAGGGTGTTGAAAGTGGTGATGCCTGGGGGGGAGGTTGGAGTGGGGGAGTGGAGGGGGGCAGTGGGAAGGTTAGAGAGGAAGAGAAGGGCGCCTCAAAAGGTGGCGGGCGTTGGGGGGCTTGGAGTCGTGAAGGGTGTTAAAAGTGGTGATGCCTGGGGGGGAGGGGGGTGGAGGGGGAGTAACAGGGGAGGGAAACGTAAAGGGATATGGAAACGTACATTGGAGCAGAGGTGGTGCAGTGTGGTGCAGTGTGGTGATGGTGGTGTGATAATGCCTGGGGGAAAGGGGAGGGAGGAAGGATGGACGGTTTGTTGACACAGTTCTGTCCTCCATATAGAGTAAACTGCGCCACTCACCATAAGACCCGTCGTGGTTGCGCCTCCATGTGCGTGAGGCCAGCACCTCCTTCTCCAACGGCCTCCTGCCCGAGTGAGGTTGCAGGGGAGAGAGGGGCAAAGGGGCAGGAGTTGGAAGATTAGAAAAGGGGTGAAAGGGCAGGGAGGGGGAAGGAACGGAGGCAGATGGGTGAGAGGGCAAGGGGCAGGGCGGTAGGAGGAGGGTCTGATCTGAGTGTGATCACTTGAGATGAGAGTCACGACACAAGCACAAGAAAGTCACTCACCCATGAGCGTATTGCGTGTTGATGACAATAGCGAATATAATGGATTTGATTGCTTCTATGTACGTGACATTAAAGATGGTATGTCCGTACACAAGCACAAGACTGACTCACCCGTGAGTGTACTGCCTGTTGGTGACTATAGCGAATATGATGTCCGTGTGGCCATCCACGGCCTCCACCACCTCGTTCTCCACTGTGAACGTGTCCCACCTGCCATGCGCATGTGCAGGGAGGGAGAGAGATGCTAATAGATTGGTATATGGCACATGAATACCCATCCACCGCCTCCACCACCTCGTTCTCCACTGTGAACGTGTGCTACCTGGATGAGGGGAAGGGGAGAGGAAGGGGAAGCTACTAGATTAGTATGTGGTACGTGACGGCATGGCAGCATGGCGGCATGGCTGCATGGCAGCATGGCAGCATGGCTGCATGGCAGCATGGCTGCACTTCAAGGTCACTCACTGCATGGAGAGAGGAGCGCTGGTGCTCATAAATACTTCGAGGTGCCTCAAAAGGTGCACGTGAGCATGCGGGCATGGTCACTCACTGCATGGAGAGAGGAGCGCTGGTGCTCATGAGGACTTTTGAAGTGCCATACGTATGCATTGTGAGCATGGCTGCAATGCAAGGTCACTCACTGCATAAAGAGTGGAGCACTGGTGCTCATGAGAACTTCAAAGATGCTGTCTGCAGATGCCTCCACCACCCCCTCCGCCTTTTGAGGTGCTTCAAAAGGTGGACTGCAGGTGTACACCTGGCTGAGCATGTGAGTGTGGCTACACTGCATGGTCACTCACTGCATTTTCACTCACTGCATGGTCACTCACTGCATGGAGAGTGCAGCGCTGGTGCTCATGAGGACTTCAAAGACGCTGTCTGCGATAGGACTCTTGACTTTTGAGTCACTGTGCAGGTGACCAACAGCATGTGTAACTTGTAAGAATGTGAGCATGGAACTCACTGCATGGAGAGGGGAGCGCTGGTGCTCATGAGGACTTCAAAGATGCTGTCGGCTGATGCCTCCACCACCCCCTCCGCCTTGATCAGCGACTCAAAGCCCTCCTGCTCGCGCATTATCACTCATAGCATAGCAACACAACGCATACACAAACACACATGCACACCAACACACATATACACACATGCGCACACGTGAGGAACCAGTGGATACAGGGCGGCAGCAGCAGCAGAGACGCGGAGACGGCCGTGTGTGGCTGGCTGTGGTGACCGTGTGTGGCTGGCTGTGACCGTGTGTGGCTGGCTGTGACCGTGTGGGTGTGTGCTGAAGGTCTGAGTGTCTTAGATCCTTAGGTGTGACTTTAGGCCGAGTTACACACATGAGAAGAAGTGACCACAGCAGCAGCGGATCGTGCTGCCCCTGCAGGAGCAGGAGGGCAGGGGCTGGATCGTGCTGCAGGGCGGCAGCAGCAGAGAAGCAGGGACAGGGGTTGGATGCGCCTGTGTTTGAGGGACCCAAGGAGTGCAGCAGACCCTGTACGTGTACGGGTCTGATTGCATGGTTGGACGTTTCTGCAAGGCCCACTGCTCCTGCATGAGTGTGTGTTGCGTTGACCAAGGTCAACCACACACGATGACCATCCCTGGATAAGCGGATTAGGGTGCTGCCAAGCCATGTCAGCATGTTAATCAGCCTATCATAGTGTGCACCTTCTCTCCTTGGTCACGCTTTTCTCCTCCTCATTCCCCTCCCTCTTCATTCCCCTCCTCATTCGCCTTCCATCCCATCCCATCCCATCCCATCCCATCCCATCCCATCCCATCCCATCCCATCCCATCCCATCCCATCCCATCCCATCCCATCCCATCCCATCCCATCCCATCCCATCCCATCCCATCCCATCCCATCCCATTCATCCCATCCCATCCCATCCCATCCCATCCCATCCCATCCCATCCCATCCCATCCCATCCCATCCCATCCCATCCCATCCCATCCCATCCCATCCCATCCCATCCCATCCCATCCCATCCCAACCCATCCCATCCCATCCCATCCCACCACAATCCATCCCATCCAGCCCATCAAAGCCTCTCTCACCTCAGATGCTTCGTGGAAGAACCGAAGGCCTGAAACAGGAAGCAGGCGGTGGGGTAGAGGCAGGGGAGGGGAGGACCGGAAAAGGGAAACGGGTGGGCGAGCGTGGGTGGAGGGAGGGGAGGGGAAGGGAGGACCGGAAAAGGGTGGGCGAGCGTGGGTGGGAGGGGAGGGGAGGGGAGGGACGGACCGGAAAAGGCAGCAGAAACGAGCGTCAGAAGGAACCAGAGCTTCGAGTCGAGACAGAGTATCTGAGGATACCTATGACACGGAATGCGCCTTTGGCTTACCACCACTTTGAAGATTCTCCACTTGGTGGTTTCGATCGCATCCCCTCCCATCTTTTAACCCTTGTCTTCATGAAGCCTCTCAAAAGCAACACGTATGCACTGCTTACCGTCCGCCACTTTGAAGATTCTCCACTTGGTGGTCTCAATCGCATCCCCTCCCACGTCCACATCTGCTTGCATCTCTCGAGTAAAGATGTCCCCCAGGCCTGAAGGTGGCAAGCAAGGATAGTGAGCACGTGAAACCACACGTTAGGCTAAGGCCCGGGTGGGCACAGGTTAGGCAACAACACACGTCCACATCCGCCTGCATCTTGCGTGTGAAGATGTCACCCAGGCCTGATGAAGGGGAGGGGGGAGGGAGGAGGGAGGAGGAGAAGAGATGAAAGGGCAAGCAGAGGGTGCCGTGTAAGGGACATGAGAAAGAGGGAGGGGAAAGAGGGGGATGACAAGTATACATTGTGGAATTTGAGTCATGTGCATGAGGCGCAACGTGCATGTGACAGGAAGGAGGGAAGCACATGTAGAGGAAAGGGAGCAAGGGAATGAAACGGGAGCAAGGGGAGCAAGGTGTGGAGAAGAAAGAGTGAAGAGATGGGAGATGGGAAGGAGAGGAGGAACGGAGAAGAGAGGAAAAAAGGGGAGGAGAGGAGAAGGGAGCTGACCTTGACCAATGGATACCAAGCGAGTGAGAGTGCGCTCTCTGCCAGAAACATTAAAAGGGGGGAGGATCAAAGGGGAGGGGAGTGACTCTGAGAGTTCTCAAAAGCGGAAAGTGCGCCGCCAAAGACGAAGGTCAGAGGGAGTGGGGCGAGTGAGAGTGCGCGGACATGATGAGAATGTCAACGGGAGTTGGGTATTGGCCCCGTCCTCGCTTGGGCGGAGCCGACTTCGTGGTCGGGTGTGAGGGGAGCAGCCGACCTGCAGCAGTGGGTGAGCTGGTCGACGAGGAGGTCGACCTGCACGGGGGACCACTGCACGGGCGCCGCCTTCAGGGTGGCGTCGACTTCAGGGAGGTCGACTTGGGAGTCGACCTACGGGTGACGTCAACTTGGGGGAGCCGACCTCGACGGTCGGCTAACGGACTGCTGGTCGACGAAGGAGGGGCCGACGTCGACCTCGACTCAGGACGCCGAGCAGTTGGGCGTCGAGCAGCGGGGCGTCAACTTCGTGATGCCAGCTTCGGGTGGCCGACGTGGGTGGTCGGCCGACGACTGTGCTGGTCGACGTGGAGCTGGTCGACCAGAGGGGACGTCGACCTGGAGGAGGTCGACCGATGGTATCGTCGACCTGGTGAGGTCGACGTGGAGGTGGTCGTCGACTTGGGAGGTCTACGGGCACGTACGGGAGCTGCTGGTCGACATGGTTGCCGGGTCGACCAGGTTACCTGGGTGACGAAGTGCTGCGGAAGAGTGCGACGGTTGCCCAGGCGAAGTTGGCGAGCCCGACCTCGGTGGTGGTATCCCGAGGCCGACGTGGCCGATCAGAGGCAGTCGTCAGCTTGAGGTTGACGTGGTGTGTGCGCTGTGCAGGTGACAAGACTCTGTGCGCCAATCATCTGCGCACAACTGCGAAGCAAGGTGCACTGCTGTCCTGCAAGAGCAACGCTGTCACGCCGTCAACCTGCGACGTTGGCACGCCGTCGACCTTGCCTTGCTGGAGTGCGGTCGACCAAGTCGTGCTGGAACGCGGTCGACCAAGCTGCGTTGGCAGTTGGCCGACCTGAATGCTTGCTCTGATGTAGTCTTGCTATGCCAACTTCATTGTACCATTGTTCTGGACTTTTTTTTCTTAGTGGAACTCTTGCCAATTTTCCCCGCGAACTAGCAAGTAGTGTATGCACCAGGAAAACGACTAAGGAACAGAGAACGCAGAGATCACACGAGCACACGTGCCTAGCCCGTAGCCTAGCTCCCGTTGCTGCAGTTATCTCCGCATGGTGCGGTGAGCGTGGACGGCACACGACTTACCTTTCAGTCAGGTCGACGTAGATACCACTTACCTAATGCGTAGTTACAGGCCGGCAACTGTGCAGTAGTCACTACGGTAGGAGCCGTAGGTGACGCGGGGGTGGTGGACACCCTGGAGGCACGGTTGGAGAACGCGAGGAAGCATGAGGCCAACGAGTATGGCGACTTGCCCTGGGCGGTCGTCGAGGCTGGACTCCGCTCCACGTGGGCGACGGAGCACCCGTCTCGACCTGCCTCTCCTCGTCCGGTGAACAACGAAGGCGGCGTCGACATGGGCGTCAACGCCGGTGGTGGTCAAGTCGGCAGCAGTGCTGGAGGCACGTCGCGGCAAAGAGGTGTGATACACGCCGGTGAAGTCGGCGGCGTTCAGACGCGAGGGATGCAGTCTTCGGCGGCTGCAGGCTCCTCGCATGGCGACGCTGGTGGGCGTCGAGGTGGGCTGTCGGCGACCCAGGTGACGGCGGGCGGGATTGCGCCGAGCTACGGCTACTTCAAGTTTACGCCGGACAGGATCTCGGTCACCCCTCCGCTGGTCGGTCGACCCGACATTCTCACCTGGAAGGAAGCCATCGAGCCCCAGCTGGAGATGGCCGAACTGATCGGCTTCCCCCGAGGGACCGTGGCGACACCGGGGGAACACCACCCCGACTTGCGAGCGGAGTTTCGCGCCGTGCAGCTGTTGACCTTCACGGTCATCTCGCGGTGCTGCTCGCCGGGCGTGCAGATCGCCTTGAAGTGGTGCCGGGAGTACATCGACGCCGGCCACCGGGCGTGGCACTTCATTGAGTCGACGTACCAGGTCACCGACGACCTGTTCATCGCCCAGCTGGAGGGACAGCTGACGCACCTGCGTATGGGTGACGATGAGACTGCGACCGACTACTGCAACCGGGCACGGCGAATTCTCGCCACCATCAGGATGGCCGGCGCGTAGTACTCCACGGCGTCGTACATCACCCATGTCATGCAGGGTCTCTCTAGCAGCTACAACCTGCTGAAGCGGCTGTCCATGGCGCCGAGCACGAGGGTGATGCTCAACGAGGACAACCTGACCTCGTATATCCTGCAGGACGAGGCGATGCAGGAGGCTGAGCGGTCGCAGGAGCTCTTGGCGCAGGCGAACTTGGTCACCTCAGCGAACCAAGGAGGCCGACCGGGACAGCGCGGGCAGTTCGGCGGCGGTGGTGGTAGCAGTGGCTGGAAGCTGGCCAAGGAGGTCGACAAGAAGAAGTCGACCAAGGACAGTGGTCGGGGAGGAGGAGGTCGACGTCGGGAGTGCTGGCTGTGCGGCGACCCCGACCATCTCTCATTCGAGTGTCCCAACCGCAGCGACTCCGACGACGACGATGCTAAGGGAGGCCGTGGGAGGTCTGGCAGCCGTCGTCCTCGTCGTGGAGGAAACCAGCCGCGCAAGGAGAAGCAGTCGACCAGGACATCGACTTCGGCGAAGGACGCCGACTCCGTTGCAGGCGGAAAGGGGCGAGACGACAAGACGGCGTCGTGCTCGCTGGTCGGCGTCGTGGAGCCGACCATCTCTCTGGCGCCGGAAGCTGGAGAGGACTTCCAGGCGGTAGCGGCAGCTGTGCAGGCGAACCCGGCGGTGGTCCTGCTCGACAGCGGTTGCTCTCACCACCTGATGGGGACGAAGGAGGTCTTCGTCGACCTGCAGCCGAGCAGCGCCATCAGGCATGTGCGCGGCTTCAATGGGGCGCTGCAGGATGTCCAGGGCCGCGGCACTGTCGCTCTGCAAGGAGAGGCCGGGAAGCAGGTGTTCATCCCCGACGTGTTGTACGTCCCGGGTGTGCGAGCCAACCTGCTGTCGGCCGGCCAGCTGAAGGAGCATGGCGTGAAGCTGCAGGAGGACGGAGACGGCATGCTGCTCGTCTCAGCAGCAGGGGAGGTGCTCGGTCGAGCGACGTACTCTGGGCGAGTCCTCTGCACCGATCTGCGTCCCTGCGCGACGAGGTCGACACCACCCACGACGGAGGTGGTGGCCCTGCGGGCGATCGTCTCGAAGACGAAGTCGACGCCGGACCGGATGCATGCGAGGCTTGCGCATGTCGGCATGGACACCATACGGAGCTCGGCGAAGAACGAGGTCGCCATTGGGCTGGACCTCAAGTCGGCGATGGACGCCGACTCCCCGTGTGTCTCGTGCGTCGGCGGGAAACTAGCGCAGCACACCTTCCCCGACCAAGGCTCTGACGTCGACGACGTGCTGGCTGTCGTGCACATCGACCTGTGCGGGCCGTTCCGCGTGGCTGCCAAGGATGGTAGCCTGTACTTCTTGCTGTTGAAGGACCGCAAGACCCGCTATGTGTGGGTGAAGCCGGTCGCCAAGAAGTCCGATGCGTTGCAGGCGTTCGTACAGTGGCTGGCGGTGGCTGAGCGGCAGACGAAGAAGTCGGTGCTGATGCTGCGTTCTGACCGGGGAGGGGAGTTCCTCGGGAAGCAGTTCACCGACTTCGTGAACGACAAGGGGATCGTCCACGACCTGACCTGCCCATACACCCCGCAGCAGAACGGCATGGCGGAACGGGAGATGAGGACGGTAGTGGAGTCGGTGCGGACAATGCTGCTGCACATGGGTGTGCAGCACCACTGGTGGCACCTCGCTCTGCGGCAGGCCGTCTGGGTCCGCAACTGCCTTGAAAGGTCGACGCTGCCGCCGGGGACGACGCCGTACCAGCTGCTGACAGGGAAGAAGCCCGACTTGTCGCTGGCGCGGGTGTGGGGCTGCATGGCGCAGTTCCTTGTCCCTGAGCAGCAGCGTGGTGGGAAGCTGCAGCCGAAGGCCAAGTGGGGCCTACACCTTGGTGTGTCAGAGGCGAGCAAGGGCTGGGAGCTTCTTGACGTCGCCACTGACCGGGTGGTCACCACGTCGGACGTGGTGTTCTACGAGGAGCTGTCCCTGGCCGAGTGGAAGACGGAGCATGGGCCGGTGTCCGGCCGCTTGCCGCCCTCTGACACCTCGTCGGCGACGCTGCCGCTGCTTGCCGAGGTCGGTGAGCTTGCTGCTGAGGACGTCGAGGACGTCCACACCCCTACCCCTCACCCTCTGACCCCTGCCCCTCCCCTCATGGCCGACCTGCGTGGGCTGACCTCGGTGTCGGCCTCCGGCGATGAGGGGAGTAGTGGGACGCCGCCTTTGGCGCCGGCCAAGTGCATCGCCGGTGGCCGACGTGACGAGCGGCGAATCGACGAGGGATTGAAGTCGACAGGGGAGGAGCAGGTCGGGGAGCAGCAGCCGACAAGGGAACAGGCTGTCGTGAAGCCGACCACGGAGCAGTCGGCGACTGGGACGTCGGCAGGGGAGCCGACCACAGGGGAGAAGTCGGCTGGGAAGCCGAGCACAGTGGAGGAGCAGCAGGACGCCGAGGGCAGCGACGACAGTGACGATGGAGGGGACGCCGAGGAGGTCCAATAAGGACCGCGACGTTCAGGCCGACTTCGGAGGCCGCCTGACTTCTTCGTCCCTGCTGCCTTCACCACGGTGTATGACGTGGACGATGACGACGACCTGCTGTACGACGACGCCGAGGAGGATGAGGAGTTTCCGGAGCTCGACCCCGACATGCTAGCTGACCCCGAGCACCGTTGGGACATCTCGACGATGACGGTGAAGGAGGCGTTGGCGAGCTGGAAGGGCCCGGCGGTGAAGGCCGCCATGGAGGAGGAGATTCGTAGCCTCATCAACATGGGCACTTGGGAGCTGGTCGAACGCCCGCCGGGGGTGAACGTCATGAAGAACCGGTGGGTGTTGACGACGAAGTACCACATCGACGACACCGTCGAGCGAGAGAAGGCGAGGCTGGTCGTGAAGGGCTTCAAACAGGTGTACGGCGCCGACTACGACGAGACGTTCGCGCCGGTGAGCAGCTACGTCACGCTGAGGATTTTCCTCAGCATCGTCGCTGTCCTCGACCTCAACCTGATGCAGCTCGACATAAAGAACGCCTTCCTGCAGAGCAAGCTCGATCGGGTGCTGTACATGTCTCAGCCGGACTACTTCAACGACGGAACCGGCCGGGTGTGTAAGCTGCTGAAGAGCCTGTACGGGCTGAAGCAGTCGCCGCTGTTGTGGTACTTGGCGCTCAATGATGTGCTGGTCGGCGCCGGGTGGAAGATGAGTCAGGTCGACGAGGCTCTTTACTTCAAAGTCGGCGAGAGTGGAGTGGCCTGCTGGGTGCTGGTCTACGTCGACGACCTGCTTGCCGCCAGCAGCAGCGCCGCGATGCTGAAGGAGCTGAAGGAGCTGCTGGAAGCCGCCTTCGAGCTGCGCGAGATCTCGCCGGTGCAGAAGTACCTTGGGCTGGAGATCGTCCGCGACAGGTCGGTGGGAAAGCTGTGGCTGCACCAGCAGGGCTACGCCGACAAGTTGCGTAGGCGCTTCCTCGACGAGGAGCAGACCGGGCGCACCCCGAAGACGCCGGTCTCGATCGGTGCCTATGCCAAGCTCACCTTCGATGACGAGGAGGCGCAGGAACGGCAGGAGGAGGAGTACCGGCAGAAGGTCGGCTCGCTGCAGTTCGCGGCGACGACGACGAGGCCGGACGTCGCCTTCGCCTGTAGCAAGCTGGGGAGCGGCCTCACGGTGAGGAGCGACCAGCACTGGCGCGAGGTCGACCGCTGCCTCGCCTACCTCGCCAACACACGTGACACCGCCCTAGAGTTCGGCGGTGGACCTGAGTCGCTGGAGCTGGTCGGCTGCGTGGACGCCGATGACGTCGGTGACAAGCAGAACAGGATGAGCATGAGCGGCTACGTGTTCGTCTACGGAGGGGCTGCAGTCTCCTGGTCGAGCCAGCGCATCAAGTGCGCGACGCTGTCGTCGACCGAGTCGGAGTACGTGGCGGCCACTGAAGCTGGCAAGGAGGGACGCCGTCTTCGCTTCCTCCTCGCCGAGTTCCGGCAACTGGACGCCGGGAAGCCGACCGTCTTTCGGGTGGACAACAAGTCGGCCATCACGGTCGCCGAGGGCATGGGGATAACGGGCAACCTCAAGCACATGGAACGGCGACAGGCCTGGCTACAGCACATGGTGAGGCGCGGGAAGTTCTCGCTGCAGTACATCCCGACCGCTAAACAGCCGGCCGACTTCCTGACGAAGGCGCTGCACTATCCGGCCTTCAACCGGTGCTCCGTTGCAATCGGCCAAGTGCGCTTGGACAATGTGGGCGACGGCGACAATGACGTGCAGCAGTAGGTGCCATGCCCTTTTGCATGGCTGGTGCGGTGGACGACGTGCTATGTGTTGGGTGCACGTCGACGAGCTATTCTCCGAGGAGTACTGCCGAGTGGACTTGGGGGGGGCCAAGCGTAAACGCGGCAGGGGAGTGTCAACGGGAGTTGGGTATTGGCCCCGTCCTCGCTTGGGCGGAGCCGACTTCGTGGTCGGGTGTGAGGGGAGCAGCCGACCTGCAGCAGTGGGTGAGCTGGTCGACGAGGAGGTCGACCTGCACGGGGGACCACTGCACGGGCGCCGACTTCAGGGTGGCGCCGACTTCAGGGAGGTCGACTTGGGAGTCGACCTACGGGTGACGTCAACTTGGGGGAGCCGACCTCGACGGTCGGCTAACGGACTGCTGGTCGACGAAGGAGGGGCCGACATCGACCTCGACTCAGGACGCCGAGCAGTTGGGCGTCGAGCAGCGGGGCGTCAACTTCGTGATGCCAGCTTCGGGTGGCCGACGTGGGTGGTCGGCCGACGACTGTGTTGGTCGACGTAGAGCTGGTCGACCAGAGGGGACGTCGACCTGGAGGAGGTCGACCGATGGTATCGTCGACCTGGTGAGGTCGACGTGGAGGTGGTCGTCGACTTGGGAGGTCTACGGGCACGTACGGGAGCTGCTGGTCGACATGGTTGCCGGGTCGACCAGGTTACCTGGGTGACGAAGTGCTGCGGAAGAGTGCGACGGTCGCCCAGGCGAAGTTGGCGAGCCCGACCTCCGTGGTGGTATCCCGAGGCCGACGTGGCCGATCAGAGGCAGTCGTCAGCTTGAGGTTGACGTGGTGTGTGCGCTGTGCAGGTGACAAGACTCTGTGCGCCAATCATCTGCGCACAACTGCGAAGCAAGGTGCACTGCTGTCCTGCAAGAGCAACGCTGTCACGCCGTCAACCTGCGACGTTGGCACGCCGTCGACCTTGCCTTGCTGGAGTGCGGTCGACCAAGTCGTGCTGGAACGCGGTCGACCAAGCTGCGTTGGCAGTTGGCCGACCTGAATGCTTGCTCTGATGTAGTCTTGCTATGCCAACTTCATTGTACCATTGTTCTAGACTTTTTTTTCTTAGTGGAACTCTTGTCAATTTTCCCCGCGGACTAGCAAGTAGTGTATGCACCAGGAAAACGACTAAGGAACAGAGAACGCAGAGATCACACGAGCACACGTGCCTAGCCCGTAGCCTAGCTCCCGTTGCTGCAGTTATCTCCGCAGAGAAGGCATGAGGAATTGAGTGAGGGGTTGTGAAGGAACATGGAAAGGGAAAGAGAGAGACGGGGGGGAATGAGAGGGATGTAAGCAGAGGACGTGGATGGGAAGCGGCGAGTAGTGAAGGGTTTGGAAGAGCCAGGAAGCAATTAGGGCTTTCAAAGGTCTCCCTACTCGCAACCAGCCGAAGCAAGTCATCAGAGGGTGTTTCTAGGTGCTTAGCTCATCAGGTTGGTTATTTAAGCGCATGAGGGTGCTTCTATGTTCGTACGTATGTACCCAACAGATGCTCTCTCTAGGTTGACTTTTGAGTCAACTCAAAAGTCAACCCAGGTTGGTTGTTCATTGCATCGCACATGAGGGTGCTTCTATGTGCACAAGTACTTACCCCACAGATGCTTTCTCTGGCTTGCCCCCAGTCTCCTGAAACAGGGTTAGAGATCAAATGAGGGGCACAGGCGGAGGGGAGAGAGCGGCAGCATGAAGATGAATTGGCATATACCCAAAAGTTGCTCTCTCTGGCTTGCCCCCAGTCTCTTGAAACATGGGTAAAAATCAAATTGGTGACAAGTGGGGGGATAGGGCGGAAAGGAAGAGGGGGGATGGTATGGGGGAGGGATGACGTGGGGAAGGGATGACACAGGGGAGGGATGTGAGGATGCAATGACATGAGAGAGGGATGACGTGAGGATGCAATGACATGGGAGAGGGATGACGTGAGGATGCAATGACATGGGAGAGGGATGACGTGAGGATGCAATGACATGGGAGAGGGATGACGTGAGGATGCAATGACATGGGAGAGGGATGACGTGAGGATGCAATGACATGGGAGAGGGATCACGTGAGGATGCAGTGACATGAGAGAGGGATGACGTGAGGATGCAATGACATGGGAGAGGGATGACGTGAGGATGCAATGACATGAGAGAGGGATGACGTGACGTGAGGATGCAATGACATGGGAGAGGGATGACGTGAGGATGCAATGACATGGGAGAGGGATGACGTGAGGATGCAATGACATGGGAGAGGGATGACGTGGGGAAGGGATAAGGTGGGGAAGGGATGACGGCCGGAGGGGGTGAGAGCCACCATGTGGGGGGACAGATTTCTTTATTGACTCTTCAACGGCTGAGATCCAATTCTGAGCTGCTCCTGGTGTGTTGTGAGTTGACTCAGAGTGGAGTGGAGTGGAGTGTGGTGGAGTGGAGTGGAGTGGGGTGGAGTGGAGTGGAGTGGAGTGGAGGAGTGGAGGGTGCACTTACAGATTCCTTGATGGACTCTTCAATGGCTGAGATCCACTTCTGAGCTGCTCCTGCACTTGTGGTTGCCACCTGGTGTGCATAAGGGTACAGTGCAGGGTAGGGATGAGCAAGGTGGCGAACACCTGTTCGGTTCGCCTCGAACGTGTTCGAGGCGAACCGAACAGGTTTTGTTTTTCAGCTTAAATTGTTCGCCGAACACTGTTCGATGTTCGCCCGAACACGTTCGTGTTCGTGGCGCTACTGCAGAACGCCCCGTGGCGAACACGAACGTGTTCGAGGTTCGCCCGAACACGCCTCCACAGGCGAACAGCGAACACCTGTTTTTGCTTAAACTGTTCGCCGAAGCGAACAGTGTTCGGTTCGGCAAAAGAGGGTGTTCGAGAAGGGGCGACCACGAACATGTTTGTGTTCGCCCTTTGCTCATCCCTAGTGCAGGGTGTGTGTAGTCAAACGCTATATTGTCACAAGTGGTACAGTCACATGTGGTACAGTCATGAGGAATCTGCATATTTCGCAGAGAAAGCTGCTGGTAACCGCTCCTGCGCTGGTCTGGTGGTTGCCTGCCACCTGGTGGGTGCGGTGCGAGGGTGAAGTCAAATGACAAGCGCATGTACGTGTGCAAGAGCAGGGAAGTAAAACAGCTTCATTGCGAGGAGAATATGCATGCATTCACATACATGAGTAACAGCTTGCTTCCTGAACACTTCCACACAACCCATGACATCACATCACACACTGCAGAACATCACATACCGGATCGTATACACCAGACACCCCATTACATAAGTCATCACACACTCCATCAGATCACATGCCTTCAGTCGTCTCCACACCACACCTTTCCCATCCTCCCTTCTTTCCAATCTCCCATGCTCCCACCTTCCCAGGCTGCCTGCCGTCCTTCCAAAATCCTTCTCTGTTTTCCTCGTTCCCACGACTTCACACCTTTTCAAGCTTTCTCATCTTTATGAGTCTCCCCACCTTTTCCAAGCCTTCTCACCTTTCCGCCTTGGTCTGGCATGGCCTTGTTGTACACTCGGAACGCGTGGAGAGCCTAAAGCGGGGATAGACAAGCCAGAGTGGCACAGATCAGACGGCCAGGGAGAGATCGAGGGAGTTGAGGTGTTTATTAGAGTTGTGTTAAAATCCACTGGCAGGGATGGATACACAGACGGCATGAAGGAATGTCTGCAACATGGACAGCACAGCAACCTAACCCTGCCCATGTGCACCAGTTCATGAACTCTAACGTTCAAATCTCAACCGTCCATCGGAGTCAAACCTTAATCATCAACATCTCGTCTCGTCCGTCCATCAGCGTACACCTTAAACTTCAACATAGCATCTCACCCGTCCATCGGCGTACACCTCGCGTCCGCAGTCCTCTACTGCGAGTTGCGGAGTCAGCACGCCGCTGGACACGGGTTCCTGTTCGGAGGATGGAATGATGTAGGGGAGCGTGTGAATGCGCAGGGACGGGTGGAGTAGAAGGACTTGAAATTTCTCAAAAACCGTCTACTGGGAGTTGTGGGGTCACCACGCCTGTGGAGACGGGCTCGTCCTCTTTTAAATCTGCTGCTCGCTGAAAATATGTGAGAAGGCCTCTGGACACGGGCTCGCGCTGGGACGCAACGCAGGGATCAATACAGAGGAGCGTGTGAATGCGCAAGGACGGGTGGAGTGGAGGGATGTGATGTGAGAATCCCCCAAGGCCATTTACTGGGAGTTGCGGGGTCAGCGGCTGAAGAACCGCCGCGGGGAGGCGTGCGAATTCGGAGGGATGTATGCAAGGAGACATGCGAATGCAGGAGGATCAAAGCGGAGAGGCGTGCGAATGCGGAGGGATGGATGCAAGGAGGCTATGAATGCGGGGGGAGGCAGCGCTATATCATGTACGGATCAATGTAAACTCGATGAAGGGATAGATTTAGGGATTGATGTTGGGAAGGGAGAAAATTACAATGCGGAGGAAACGGGAGGGGGACGCAGGGAAATAATGAATAATGAAGGTCAGAAATAAGATCAGATTTGTCGCTGTATGTCAGGACCACTCGTTGCCCCGGCGCCTCGAAAGGCATCGAATTAGCTGCGGTGTGTGTTCATAGACTTGGTCTCGACGAGCTGGTATCGCGTGCGGACCATTTTCTCTGAATATAGGTGAGAAAATTATCTGACGTATGAGTAATAAATGCGGGAGGGTGGTTAACGAGGACGCGCGGCCAACGTAAGTCATCCTAACGCGAGGAGAGAAAACAACTCGAAAATTTGATAAACATTCTTCCAAACGCGAGTCGTGAGTTCAACGCGACATCGAATGACACGCGAGCTACATTCGATTGGCATGGGTGGTCTTCAAGATAGAAGAGTCCCCTGGGATACCTACGTGAGCACAGCCCGTGGCATGGGTTGAGACGTGTTAAAGAAACGGTATTGCTTGCTCGAGCCACGAGCAAACGAAAAAACAATCTTCGTAGCTTGAGACACGTCAAAAAACTGGTTCAGCAAAAAGGTGGCCTTGGGACTATCAGCGAGCACTAGAAGAGAATATGGGAGAAAAGCACGGCTTCTTAGTAGCAAAGCTACAACGAAATCGCACTTCCCGGAGCATCTGGTTACCTCATGTCAGTTAAAAAAATAATTCACGCGCAATGTCAATGTCCAGCTATATTATCATCCTCGCGCAATGTCGGCAACAGCTACGTTGTCTTATCCTGGCGGTCGTCTTAATTCATGAGTAAGGATAATAGCAAAAACCTTTGCTGAATCGTGCAGCACGGACCTCGTTCTTCACCAGCGTCGGGTCGCGACGGTACATGAGCAGGCTAAAGTTCGCGAGCACCAAGTAACGTGGTAACAAAGCTGGCGCCGCGTCGTCAGGGTCCGGCCTCACGACGAACACCCAGCCAGAGAAAAGCGCCATTGCCGGACAACCTCTCGTATTAGTGCACCTCGAGAGTGACAGTCAATCAGAAAATACTAATTTTGCCTTTTCGCGCGCTTTTGGGCAAGCAGAAGCAGTACGGAACCTGACAGCAGATGCGTTCGATCAGCCTGACAGAGCTCGCGATATCAACTGCGAGGTTGCGTGAGGAGATCGAGGGATGGCGGACGGCAAATGCGGAGATGCTGTATCCGCTTTACTTGTCACTACGCTATTGAAAACGCAAAATTCAGACTTGGATCGGAGGAATCAAGGTGCCCCTCCAACGGAGAAAAGCATCTGACAAGCCTGGCTGATTGGTAAGGCTGAGAGATGGGATGGGAGTATCAATGTTCGAAGCCGCGTACACGGTGATAACAAAATCGAATGGCTGCCAAAAGTTCACTTATCGAGTTACATCCCCTTCGTGACCTCTCTTCATACGGTTCGCCCCTTTCACGGATATGTTCAACAGTGTTCGCATGGATTTCAGCAACGTTCTGTACCGCGTTGCGAGACGCAGTGCATCTCGCAAAATAGGGTTTGAGGGAAGAGGCAGCATGACTTCCACACAACTGTGCGCCGACCTGGGCCCGGTTCAGAGCACCGAGCCTGGGGCCCTGGAGATTGGAGGGCGCTCGGTTGGTGCCCCCAACCAACACCCGAGCCCAGCAGACGACCGCTGCTTTTCTGAACCACCGTTGCGCCGTGGTGAACCCTGGTTCCCGCGATATATCTCAGCGGAAACGGATTGTCAGGCCCGACGACCTCAAAGGTTCATATGAGCAGGAACAGTAAAACACGGGCGAATCCGCGATCGCTTCCGCGTGCTCGCGGAAGCGATCTGCCCCTCGGGCAAGAAAAACAAGAGTCGACGTTAACGTCGGAAGGGTTGCGTAGCTTGCGTTTGCTGTTTTGAAAACCGTTGGTTTGTTGTTGAGTGACGCTGCAAAATGATTTTATATTTCTCAGACCCTCGTATATTGTCATTCAGTTTTGCAGATGTGTTTCTAGTAATCTTATATTTAATGCCTTTGAGTAAAATAAAAGTAAGCTCGGATTGAGTTGATTAATAAAATAAAATAATTGATTACAAACCGGTGCTGCAAGTCCTGAACACATTGATGATAATGTGATTCAGGAAGGTACCATAGACTATGTCCACCTTCCGTAAGACCAAGTTCGCTTGCGTGTTGTTGGAAACATATAGTTCGCGTTTTTTATGTTTCGACCATGAAGCTTTTGACGATTTATGCGACCAATATGCATGGGTACGTAATATTGACGATGTAAAATGAAGCTCTTTTTATGTCTAGTTAGTGTTTACTGTTTGTTTGAGTTTTTTTTTAAATCAATGAATTTTTAAGATGTAGTTTCCATTTTAGAGTTTTACTGATGACTAAGCATAGTTAAACATATCTGAGTTGTTCAAAGGTGATTCATCAGTCAGGTGAAATGACGCATTTCTGACTTGTTGACTTCGTTTTCACGTGTCTCTGAGTAAGTACACCAATTTGTTTTTAGAGTAACTAGAATCCAGTGGTTTGGTCTTCCTGTTTGCGTCCTAGTTTTTATCTACTACACTTTTCTTTTACTAGTTTAACCAAAACTAGTCGAGCAGTTGACCTAGTGCGGAATTCAGTTCCCTCTAGTCGATACTTTTTGTTTGCTTCGGTCACCGATTTGACTCGACCAACTACGGAGCAAATACTGAGTGCAACAATAGAACGAAGCTTGTGTAGCTAATAATCGAAGCGCGCTCGTTTCCTCTCGAATTCCAGTAACACTCGCCATGAGAACCAACGACCAGGCATCGTTTCTTGTTGCAGTGCTTGCGAGCTTCCTTTCAAAGTTGATTCTTGATTCTGATGTCCTTAGACTTCTTGATTCTTGATTATCGCTTTCTTGATTAGTCAGAGAACTCTCCAGTTTTGCGCTTCAAGTGACCTGCAATAGTAGTAGCGTTTTGCATTAAGTCTCCTGTCAACGGACCGTCGCTCCTCACCAAAGCAATTGCAGGTAGTAACGCTGTTTATGCCCCGCTACTAGTAGGCCCAGTGACATTGAGCGCATTGAGCGCCGCACATGGGCGCTGGCGCTTTTAAGCGCTGGCGCCTTGGCGCCTTGGCGCCTTCAGCGCTGGCGCTGTGGCACCTTCGGCGCTGGCGCCAGGGCGCCTGCGCTGGCACCGTGGCGCCTTCAGTGCTGGCGCCGTGGCGTCTTCAGCGCTGGCGCCGTGGCCGCCACCAGCGCTGGCGCCATGGAGCCTTTAACGTTGGCGCCTTGGCGCCATGAGCGCTGGCGCCGCGCCGCCTTAAGCGCCTTTAGCACTAGCGCCTAAAGCCTGCGTTGTGGCTGCTCTTCCACATCTCTAAATTGTAAAGGTTATGAGTTGAATTGATTTCGGGGCCCCCAAAAACAGTATCTCAACAAAGAGACAACGCTACGGGTCATGAGTACTTTGGCATAGTGGTTCATGAAACGAGTCCGTAAACTGATCGTCATCAGATCGATTCTCACTGGAACGATTTTCATGAGTCTGTTAATGCTTGTTGTTGCGTTTTCCTGTTTGTGCTCGTTGCAACGCACCCAACGAGTATCGATCCCCCAACCTTCCGCGCAAGTCAGATTCAGAAGTCATTAAGGCAAAAAAAAACAGGAGATCTGTCAGCATCAGGTATCTAACCCGCATCTATAAACCACCAAAGCCTGGTCAGATTTGGGTTAGTTTTGAGTGAGGTACAGGTCAGGTTAGTTTCGGGTCAAATACTTCCTGACCTCGAACTGACCTCAAAGTACTTTGTTTGCACCCTACTGTATCGTTGCGCACGCGTCAAGACTTGAAACACTTCACCAGCTCCATCCCCTTCGGCAACCATAAAGCCAATAGCTTTAATCATCCTGTAAGTAGTTACTCAGTGTTTTTCCTCCCAAGGCATCTCAAGAAGCATATACACAACACCCAACTCTCCCCAAAGCACCTCTGTGCTATGCCATTTTTGTCCTTCCTAACTTTTCGAACTGCTTTCCATTCTGTGACACCTGGAAATTGTTTCTTCTTAAACGTCTCTTATGCCGAGTTCTTGCCTCTTCTTAGTCCACCTGTCCCCTGCACCCATCCCCTCCATGATCCATCCCCTCCTCTAAGACTCGTCCTTGACAACCTCCTCGCAAGGTCACTCAAATAAAGAACACATCATTCATTCCCTCCATCCTTCCCTCCATGTTCTCCAACCTGATATCCCTCCTCATTCTCTCAGATCCGTCCCCAACAAGCTGTTAACAGGGTCATTATCAGCCTCTGTCTACCCTCCGCCAACTCGTTCCCATGTGAGTTTTTTATGCGTTTTCTGAGGTCACTTTCACGTGAGCGAGTGCATGGCTGAGTGCACGAGTGAGTGCATGTGAGTAAGAAGTTGAGCATTCAAGTGAGTGTGAGGGTGAATGCGTGGTTGAGTGTGAGCGTGAGTGCGAGTCTGGGTGCATGGTTGAATGCGTGGCTGAGTGA